CAATTGACAGCAAACATTAATTCAATGGCAGTACATGATGGTAAGATGGCTATAGGCCTTCAGGATGGACAGGTGGGATTAAGACAGGTCGATGGATCCCTCTTTACGATTTATAGGCATGCACAGAGTGTATGCAGCATGGATTTTAATTATGGCTGTATTCTAAGTGGGTCTTGGGATAATTCAGCAATATTTTATAAAAATGGAATATGCTATCCTTTTCCCCATCCTGCTTCAGTTTGGGCAACATTTATTCTATCTGAAAATAGCTTTCTAACTGGATGTGCCGATTCTCATTTAAGAATTTTTGGCAGTGAAGGGAAAGATAGTTGTGGTAATCGGGAAAGTTTACATCAATCTATTTCTCTACTGGGTGATTTTAGTCTGCATACAGCTCCCATTAGAGGAATGGTTTGCTTTAATGGTTCTATCTATGCCGTGGATAATTTAGGAAAACTCCTAAAGGTTTCTATGACTGGAGATATTTTGAAAAGCAGGAATTTGTCGAGTTTTTGTTATTGCATTTGTGAGTTTTTGGATTATTTAGCTATTGGGGGAGAAGATGGATGGATTTATATTGTTGATCAGCAGTTTGAACTATTGGACAAAATCCAAATTTCTGGGATACTTTCGATATGGGATATCTGTGAGGTTGAAGGGAATCTTAACGCCGTTGGAGATAATGGGGTACTATATCAGTTGAAGTTTAGTAATAAAAGAAAGACACAGGAGAAGTTATCAATAGGTGTTGAAAAAAATGTTTCTGATAATACACCTTCAAGATTGAGTAACTCAGGCCAATATAAATCAGGAGATGATTCCCTGAAGGTTGAAAATGGAAATGTATATATTAGAAGAGGTTCTGAATGGGAATTGATGGGAAGAGTTAGTAGTGAGGATATAAGTGCAGAAACAAAAACCTTTGACAATTCTTTTAATGTCACGCTGAATGATAAGCAATACACCTTGTCTTTTAATGACTCCGAAAATATTGAAAATGTTGCAAGCCAGTTCCTAAAGAAAATAACTTGGAAAGTTACTATTTCCAGGAGATTGTTGATTTTATCAAAAAGAATTTTAAAAAGTCGTCCCATTTCAAAAAGTATGATAATCTTAACACCTCAGGAATTAAAAAAATGTTGAGAAATAGAAATGAAGCTATTTCTATAGAGATGATCGAGCTAATTGAAGAAGAAATTCAGTCTAATAAAAAGATATTCAAGGAATGGAATCTTTGTAGAACTGAAGATGATAAAAGTCCCACACTCCATGATTTAGAAGAATGGCTCAAAACGATTCCTACATTTATATGTCTTGATATTTATAAATACTTGGTTTTCAGAAATTATCTTGTAGATCTATCGTTCTTGATCAATCTTAAAATTGATAGTTCTAAAGAGGCCAAGGCATTATGCTTTCTAGTTACAAACATGGTTGAGAACCCACCATTCAATATGGATAAGCTTTATAGATATTTGGAAAAACTAAAAGACAAGGGTTTCTTATCTGATAAAGATATGAGCAATCTTAATGAAAATAAGGCATTGACTAAATAAGTATTTGATTATTAAGAGGTTAGCATTCGACAATATAATATTTCCAATTGTTAACCAAATAAATATACATACAATACATTTATTATAAAATTAATTGTTTTCACGGTTAAAAACTCAGTAGAATTATCTATGATACTTTTTGGAAGGCATACAACAATTAACTTCTTTTACAGTTCTCATTCTATATAAATAGGAGGGTAAACAAATACTAGAAGCCCATACAATTGATTATTAAAACACGTAATATTGTTAATTGTTTTATTCAAAAAATAAATTTAATTTATCTTTAATTTCCACTTTGGCAAGTTCCAGACATTTTCTAGAAAATCCTTCCTTTCTCTGCAATAATGATCCAATTAGATACTCAAAGTCATAATTCTTCATTCTTAATCTGGATTTTATGAGGCTTAGATTCTCATTTGTGATTTTAATTTCATAGAATTTATTAAACACTCTCTTCTCTAAGGCATCAAAAATATAGAGAATTAAGCTTTCTAATATTGTACAAAGATCTATCCTAGATTTTGACAAGTCTGTGTACAGCTGATTTAACAACTCAGCAAATACTTCTAAATAATCAAATAATTCATTGATGACGCCCTTGATATTTTGAATTTTATTGATATTTTCCAATCCTTTTTTGAACTTTAATGTTACAAAGCTCTTAAACGCAGCATCTGGAACTGTAGACGTATCCAATACATACTTCAGATCCTCAAAGGAGTATATTGGTAATTTAGAGATATCTAGTTGAATATTTTCAAAGGAACTCAAGTACTTTGATAGTTTTTCCATCTGTTCTGTTTGAATATAGTATTTGATCAGGTTATTGTCTGGTGATGGTGTCTCATTCATCTCCATCGAATATTCATAAAATATTTCCTGGAATAGATTATAGAATTCCTCTAGTACAGGATAGTCTTGGTTCAATATGTATTTAATTCCACTTGATTCGATTTCTACGAATGATTTTTTAGTGTTAGAACTCTTCCTAATGTCACTACCGGTATACTCCACCTTACTTATATTTGTGCCTTCTTCATCCTTAAACAAGTGAACTTCAATGGTTCGTGTGTTAAATGAATTTCTTAATTTATACTTTGATGAATTCTGATCAAGTTCACCAATAAACAACAAATCATTAGTTAAAAGACAAATGATTCTATTTTCGTTAAAATACTCTGTTGAAATCAAATATCTTCTTTCTGTAATAAAAGGATTCATATCATCCATAAAGTTGGAGCATTTCTTCTCGAATTCTAAACATTTTTCATGATTGATATTAGTTTCAATTCCGTCAGGAATCTGATTAGGCATTGAGAAAGAGTCCAAGATATTGTAGCAATACTGATAGGTGTCTAGAATTTTCAATAAAGAGTCACTATTTTTAATGAAAGAACGATAAAGTTGTTCGTTAAGTTCTTTCTGATATTGTCTTAAGTTGTGCATTTGATTTTCAATAACAAACTTGTCGGATGTTTTATGAGTTTTATTCAAGTATTCTACCAAATTCACATTACCAAATTGCATTATTTTTTCATGATGCTGCATTTCAGGGCTTGAAAAATGTTAGCTGGAAATATTTTGAGCTAGATGGCAAAAAACTAAGGTTATTAATATATCAAAGATGTATATTCAATTGCTCATCATTTGAAAAGCTGTTTTCCAGACTTTTTAATGAAAGTAATAATATTGTAAAACATGCATCTATTAACGAGATAGTTGTAAGTAGAGCAAATACACTTGTTAAATCAATACTGATTAAACACAAAATTAAACAGGAGTATTTTAATTAAAAAATCTCCTTAACAGATGGATCATATTTTTTTCAATTTTCTCTTCATATTTATCGAATGTATCAACTAGCAAATCGTTATGAAGCTATTTCTAATACTTCCAGAAATCTGATTTAGAATTGTATCATATGATTTAGTTAGTTATGCTTTGAAAGAATGGTTGTTATAGTTTGCCCTTACAATGAACAACTCGTGGATAAACTGTGGACTAACATCAATATTCTTCTCGCTCCTTTTCTATTATATCTGTGAGGTATCCAAGTCTTTTGTGATATCATTGGTTGCTTTTCCTCTATCAAGATGGATGAATTCCACTTTGAGGTCATCTACATTTTATGAGTTGATCCAAACTATAAATACTAACTTAGATGAAAATTACATCAGAAATAATTTTTATTTTGTAGATTCTATACTAGTTTTAATAATAAATCAGATAAAAATTTCAATGAGGAATTAAATTACACTACTAACTTAGAAAATAATTGTTCTGCAGTCAATTTGTAAGATATTTCCCATTCATCAGATGAATAGAACAGCACTAAATTTGAACCAAATCCATGATTATTTTTAGATTATCAATTACCATAGTATCTTAAAATAAAAAGTATATACAATTGCCCACTCAATCTTTGAGTTGAAAACCAATTATTTATTTTTACTTGTTTCAAAAAGGCTCTATTTATAAAATATTTTTTTATTTATTGAATATGATGATCAACGAATGTATATTTGAAATTTCAATTCCTTCTCACCAGACTATTCAGGGCCACACTGAATATCAAATTGTGATAGTGGCTGATCATGAAGAATTATCTACCAATTACATTCGAATTTTTAGAAGATATTCTGAGTTCTTGAAGCTACATAAAAATCTGTCCAAGGAAATACCATACCTACCTTCATTTCCTCCTAAAGTTTTTCTAAAATTAAAGAAGACCGTGGTTGAAGAACGTAGAAGAAAGTTAGATAACTATTTGAAATTTGTTTCACAGTTTATTGTAAGAAATAAACTTGAAAAGACAGAATCTGGAAGAGCCTTTTTAAACTTCATAACTTCTAAAAAATAAATGAAGATATAGACAAACTAAGTTATATTAAATTAAAAAATGTATAAACATCATTTATGCCAACAATTATTCACAGATAATGAAGTCTTAACAAAGCATTCAGTCAACAGAGACTGAAAATTTCATAAATACCATTAATATTCCTTTATCAACTTATTTTCATATACTCGATGCTTCCTACCCATTTCCAACTTTTTCTTTAATTTACAGTCTAACAATATCAATAAATTATCCTGATGAAATTTTATCATCTTGTTGGCCAAAAGCGTACCAATAATATCATCCTCGGAAATATGAGTCTTGTTAGACATTTCTTTGATATTGATTTTATTGGACTCTCTAATCTCAGATAGAATTATCTCCAACCAGTAAGCCCGATAAGACAACAAACCTAAATCACTCAATGGCTTCTCAGGTCCACTTATTAAATTTTCCTTTTTGCTGAGCATATAGGAAAAATCTATTAAAACTTTTCCATAGCCTTTTCTTTGTTCCGATGGAAGAGTCAAAATACAGGCAAGATTATATCCTTGTTCAGAAACCTTTTCTTTAGAAAAGTATCCCACTATCTTGTATCCATCTGGCCGGTCTACACTTTCGTTTCTGATGTCTACCTTCTCCCTACGACATAAAACATAGAATAGAAATGCATCTACATCATAGTAAAGCGATTTGTGATCCAGGAATAATTTCGATAAAAGAGCAAGATTCCTACAGTAGTTTTTTTGCTTATACCCATCGATTTCAAAAAACGACAAATTGTTCTCTTCATCATTGTAAATTTGTGTTCCAGGTGGATGGCGAAGATCACAACTTACACAATGATCATTTAGTTGATTCTGAGAGGCGAAATAAAACAAACAGTACTCACAGATATAAACTGTTTTATCCTTTATAACTTCCTTGGGATATGGACTGAAATACCACGTATTCATACTGTGATTTCCAATGATAATCTTTTCAAAATTTCTTACTTTTAACTCCTCCTCGACCTTCTTTACATCCTTTTTATCGTCAATTTTTTTCTTTTTTCTAGGAACTTCTATTTCGGATAAATCTTTCAGAATAAGTTCTCTTCCATCGATCCAAGTATCATATCTTCTATTCAATTCACAGTAATGGATATAGAAGGAAAGTGTTGTAGAGGTTTCTCGTATAGTTACGATCTCACATTTTATTGTTTCCAAATCATTTAGAGGACTTTTTGTTGGGATTTTATAACCTACTTCAATCTCAGAGATATCCATGGGTGGAGGAATATTGGAATGATAAGAAAAGAGTAGAATTTCACTTTATAGTATAAGTTATGAATTATAAAGATGCAGAGGAAGTTAATTTGATTGGAATAGTGTATAAAGATGTTCATATTATTGTAAGTAATTATATTGCTATTGAGAATATTTTTAAAACTTGAAATCTTCAACGAATTTCAGAAAATGATGATTTTTAAGTCAATATGTTTGTAGAAAAAGAATTTTGAACTTTGTTTATAGTTATGAAGACATCAAGGCTACTTTACCAATGAATACAAGTATTGATTGTTAGAAGATAATTTAATTTTACGAAAAAAGAATATTGATATATATTTTTTGATTTTCATAATCCATATACCCTATGGTATATTCTTCGATATATCCTAATTTAGAAGGGGAATTTGAAAATAAGCTGATAGACAAGAGATATATTGATAATATCGTGAATGGTGAGTTTAGTAAACCATTAAATGATGATTATAATTCAAGATTTCAAGAGGTACCACTTCGACCTCTACTTCCTAAAGTTCGAACAAAGAAAGTTATAGTCAATTCTGAGAACCTCATAAAGGAAAAATCCAATATACTCATTGATAAAAATCTCAGCAATCTAACAGTGCTGCCTATTCAAATGAAAATAAGCTAAGTTTGACCGAAGTAGATAATGATATTACGGATATGCCCACAAATGTGGTAAAAGATCATTTTGAAAATTGGGCAGCTATAGCAATGCTTGTGGGGGTTTTAATTGTTAGTGTAGGACTTATATACTTATGTTATGAAAATAGGTTAGGTAGGAAAACAAAAATATTTGCTTTAGTAATAGGTATGTCGATAAATATAGTATTCATTCTTCTTCTACTAAATTATCCAACCATCTGAAGCTTGTTATTATTATTGGTATATTAATAAGTTTATACACTATGTGCTATGCAGCTAAATTACTACGTGCAAATGATGAAAAACATCTACAACCACACAATTCTATTTGATATTGGGAAAATTGGTGATAAATAAACTTTTATCCAATTGTTTTTTGTAAAGTTTTTCATTATTATTGAATGTGAATCAACACCATTTATACACTCTTAGTTGCTATTTCCACGTCAGTTTGGTGAATTTGAAACAACATCCCCTTTAACATTATTGGACATCTTCTATTGTTATAGATTTTCTCTTTTTAACCCATGATTGATGTCAACATGCCTCTCTTTGATATAAAGGCCACAGAAGAGCTGATTATTATCGCTGGTGGAGGAGGAAGTAAGGACTTTGGTGTAGAAAATGGAGTAACTGTTCTGTTGAAAGATAACCAAGAAAAAAGGGTATTCTATGAGACCGAAGATATTATTACCGCAATAGAAGTTTATGAATGTGATTCTGAAGAAGAAAACAGTATTGAAGAAAATAACGAAAATGAAGCTGATATTTCAAAAGCAGGTGAGAATAGTGAGGAGGAAGAGCCTAATGAATCTGAAAGCAATACAATTGAACATTCTGAGGATAAGGAGGACAAGATAAAAAAACATAGGAAATTGGCCAAGAAGAATATTGATGTTGAGTTGTTGAAGAATATTAAAAGAAGAAATATTGAGAATACTGGGAGTGAGGGTGTTGATCAAAGCAAAGAAATATCATCTGAATCTAAGAAATCCAAAATCTCTGAGGATTTTCCAGCAACCAAAAAGGTGATTATCGCTGCAATTGGAGAGAATTTTCTGTATGTTCTGAAGTTTGATGGTAAATTCCATAGTTTAAGTAAAATCAAAAAAGGAGTTAAGAAAGTGATTCTTTCAAAAAATATGATAGTACTTGCCAACAATAAAATTTACGGCTTTTATGACATAGAGCATCATCCTCGTTTAACCATTCCTGGCGAAAGAACAAGCACACGAATGTCAGAAGCCGATATTTCAAGGGTTGAAGAAAAGGATAACCCAAGCACAGATGAGTGTAACATTTTTAAGTTAACCAAAGAACATAACAAAATTGTGTGTATGGATGTAAGGGTTCCAAATATTGTTAAGCCGGATCTATCAGCAGATTGGGACAATTTCTTCATAAATGGCTCAGAAATACACAAAGTTGTCTATAAAGGTAGCCAAAGCGCCTTTACATATGATGATTGTGATGCAGAAGTTTCTGGGAAAATATCAAAAATCATCTGTAAAGGTAAAATTTTGGTATTTTACTCGCATCATAGCAAGAAGAGTAATCTAAATATCAACGGTAGGGAT